GACCTGATCTGTAGTAGGAAAAAGCGATCATATTTTCTTTTAACGAAAATATTCAATAAATTGTACACGCATCCTCAACATGATTGCACATATATTTTTGACACAATCCCTACATAAAATATATCAATTTCCATGAAAACCCGTAAGATGTTGGAATCATGAAATGTTCAGTGCAAAGCAATTGCGAGAAGTAATCCAAAGTTACGTGAAAGAACTGAGAAAAGTACATATTTTGCTATTACTATGATGTAAAACGAATACAAAAACTATAATGTATATTATATATAATATATATAAGGATCAAACCCAGGACAATTGCATTTCCAGTCAAGTAATCGGACTATATATATATATATATATATATATATATATATATATATGCATACACTCGACACCTCGAATACATAGAACCATGCACTGATCTCGATCCAAAGAACATTTTCTGTGTTATTAGAGAGCAGGATTCGAAAGAAAGAGTAAAATCTATATCCCAAACGACGAGTTTTGAAATTCCTGAAATGTCGGAAGTAGGAATTCCGTTTTTACGGTACGTATAAGTAACTAAACCTGATTTAATTGTTTTGAATGCTAACAAAGAATACATGTATGGATACATATTGAAGCGCATAGGAACGTTGTATTGTAATGTAATATGCACTTTACAAGAACGGTTCATCATTATCATAATTTTTATTAATAATTTTTATTATCTATGCTAGTGTGTACCGAATCTATTGACAAGCAAGAGAAGATGGACATTTTTCAACACTTATTATACAAATATATCCCACATGTTATTCAGTGGCATTCAATGTAGTACAAAATTGACATTGATAAGATCAATATAGAATATGTTCATAATTTTATTGATACTGAATAATATCATGAACATTTGAAACGTTCCTACCATGTACTAGATAGAATTCTTTGAACATGTATTTGTTCTGGTGGATGTATATAATGCTTATCAAATTTGTATATTATTAATCTGCAATCTTGTATTTTCATTGCCATTATCATCATTATTTTGGGGAAACTATAATTACAAGAGTCTATAAGATACGAATTTGGAAATATGTTTACAATTTCGCGAATGTAACGTCGTTGAATTGTTAAATTATAAATTTGTAATCTCTGAGTCCTCCGTGCTGTTTCCCAAATCCAGAATTGCTGTTTACGCATTACTGTCACTTTCAACTATCAAGACTCTGAGCTGTTTCCGCGAGTTCATAACGACCATTGCTCATCTGAGAGTACTTCACTGATGAGAAGCCACATGCCTTCAACGTCAGCTTGGTGATGCCGTAGACCAGAAAGAGAACCAGCATGCCGATTAGGATGTGCCATGTGAACATGACGGTAGTGAACATGACGTTGAGATGGTCCTCTCCATCCCAAGGTTCTCCTGAAGGAGGTTTGTAGAGCACTATACCCAAGTGAAAGAACCAGGTTCCCTGGACTAGAGTGAAAAGAATCCGGATGAGACGTATTAAGATATCTTCTCTGGACCAGACCTCCGCCGCTGCTGCCAAAAAGCACACAAAGATAGCGAAAACGAGCATGCTGTGAAGGTGGATTTCGAGAGGGCTTCGACCGTGGGTGTGGTAGTAGAAAAGAAACCCTTCCACGGCATACGCCAAAGCACCAAGAGCGTGTTCAAATTTTGCTGCAGAAGGGACACAGGTACTCCCAAGGATTTTGACGAATCCATAGAGACCAAAATACAAGTACATGGAGCAGTGCCCCCATTCTACGTCATTTTGCCAGAGGCCGTCCTTGTCGACAAGGACCAGGACCGGTTCCGAGTACGCCATCTCGACACCGATGCCGGCAATGCCCGCGAAAACGATTAATCCTGCCTCAAGAGGTGCGCGATGCAAACAGTACATCACACGAGACCGGGGCCGCTGGCGACAGTTGTCCAATACAACTATGGAGTATGCATATTGTATGATCCACCAAATAGCGACGATAATGAAAAATCCACCGGGTACTGCATGTCCACCAAACGAACCCATTTTATCGTCTTATCTGTACTTCCTTGAGGTAGATTCACTCTCTTTCCTTCCACCACTGTACTCGATGTAAGATGTACAATCGTGTTATGGTATTCTGTGGAATCCTCGATCGCACAGTAGGCTACAGTACCATCGCGTACCATTGTAGTCTCTCTCTCTCTCTCTCTCTCTTCTCGAGCAAAATGCAAACACCGAAAACGAAACAATCCGGACGTAGTTCTTATATGGCGAGCCATCTGTGTACAAACGCAACCATTGTCTCTCTTGGTTTCAATTATTTGAAAGTCGAAGGCGGGCATAAAATGCTGAAAAGATGCATTGCATTCATAGAGATATACATGTATATTTATATCTCTATGATTGTATTGGATCTAAAAATAACTGCTGTTTTTTCAAGCAGACTTTGGATTGGGTGACTGGGTTCTGGTGAAATCCGATTCATGTGTGCACTGCATATCCATTTAAAGATTGAGTCAAAATAATCCTCATAATTCTGCTGAATGTCAAACCATCACTTTATAGGCCTCCCTATATACCTAATGAGGCTTTCTAGTAACTTCTTGACGGTTACTTTCACAACGTAAGGCCGACAAGCTTTGTATTGCCCTTTGGGTGTCAAAACATGGGTCGGTCGGTCGGAAATCTTCTTTTTTCCTTCCCTCTTTGTGCTGATATTTCTCAGTTTGGAATGCTTTAAATAGATATATTTTTTATTCATTAAACATTTTTTCCCCCAAAACCGGTAAAAAAAAAAATATATATATATATATTTTTAAAAGCCGACCGTAGAGTTCAAAATGTTTGGGTTGGTCGCAAGGGGCAATACAACATCTTTTTTAACGCCTAATTGAATAAACAGTACTCAACTTTATCTTTAATATATAAGAGACGCATTGAAAAAATGAACGTTTAATGTTGTTTAATTTATAAACACATATGACATTGTAGCACATACTTATATGCGCCACATAGTTAGCATGTTGCAGACGGATGCACCTAAGGCTTGCCATAGTTATCAGCACTATTGCGCACGTAACGAACGTTCTTAAATGTAAACGATATCATTATGCCTGCAAAATTTGAATTGATTAACAAATATCCCATTATATAAAATTAAGATGGATGCCATGCTAATTTGTAGCTGGCAAAGCGTATTCACTGATATTGTGCTATGTGAGTATACTGATGCAATGTATGACAAAACAAATGATGTGTATCATTTAAGAAGCTATTTAAACAAAATCTATAATACAGGCCTTTTTTTTTGTTGATTTTTTTCTTCTGAATAGTAATAGTACCACAAAAAGGAGGCGGGCGGGAATGGGAAACACTTCATTTTTTTTTAATTTAGCCTCATACCTTTCCTTTGATTCATACCTATAATGATTAAGATAAAGAATAATGACACACACGTCACATTTGGCAATAGGAAAGACAATATTAGGCGACATTTATTATGTTCTTTCAATTAAATATGAAATACTCAGCTCAATACAAAATCACAAATAATTAGATTCACATAAAAAGATTTACAGATTACCATGCTTATTCCCACCCTTAAAAATAATGCCAAGGATCATTTCCGTATATACATACTATATGAGGGACATTTACTGAAATTAATTGAATATAATTAATACATAATAATAGTAATAATTATAATAATGACAATAACGATGATGATGATGATGATAATAATAATGATAATAATAAGAAATAATATTCATAAAAACAATGATAGTTATAATATTTTTTTTATTTAAAAAAGCATTTATAAGTAATAAAGAGGACTATCGTGATGCAACCGTTGGCTGAATGCATGCCATTGGCATATTTTGCTGCATCATGTGAGTCCTCTATTCTTCCGAAACAATTAAGCGTCTCTATACATTAATAAATTGAATTATATATTTTAATTTTGTTTATTTTTATCGAATATTCCCCATACTTTTAAGATCCGTTTCTCTTATTTATGTTAAAACCAGCTAATGTAAAGGTGGACTTTCCCTTTAATCTTGGGTTCTCAAGGGAAATTTATCATGGCTTGGTCTTCAGACAAAGACATACAAATCTCACAGCAAGCAAAATGTGCTGATGGAGAAAGTGATTCCCATGAAGAAAAAAAAAATCGAAAATCTAATAGTTTGGCGTTTAGAAAATATATAAGAATGAACGTTATTTACAATGCCATATACTATTTCGTGTAGAATTTAGTGACCATCCCGTCATCGTGTGATTTAAATTATAATTGTCAATAACGTGTTTCTTTTTTTCATCATGATGTTTTTTTCCCCAAATATGTAGCACTCTTTAAGTAACGCGCAAAGTACATTGGCTATTACCATGATGAAAAACGAAATACAAAAACTATAATGTATATTATATATAATATATATAAGGATCAAACCCAGGTCATTTGCATTACCAGTCAAGTAATCGGACTATATATATATATATATATATAAATATATATATATACATAGAACCACTGATCTCGATCCAAAGAACATTTTCTGTGTTATTAGAGAGCAGAATTCGAAAAAAAAAGAGAGTAAAATCCATATCCCAAATGACGAGTTCTAAAATTCCTGAAATGTCGGGAGTAGGTCTTCTGTTTTTTTTAAATGAAATAGGATTAGAAATTCATTTTTACTGTAAGTTTAAGTAACTAAACCGGATACGGTACATGTATTATAAAATATATGCATAGTCAATAATTCGTGATAAGATTTGTACAGGGCTACCGAATGTGCACAGTATATTCGCATAAAATGTACATATTCCCTTTTTACGTTTAAATAATATACACATCGCGCTGGCCTTCTCATACATTGGTTCAGGTTTTTTTTTTTTTTTTTTTTTTTTTTTAGGGGGGAGCTTTTTATAGAACAGTGAAGACTATTTTGAAGAAAAAAACACTTCAACATTGGAGCCATTTCATCCGTATATGAACGAAATTGCAAATGATAACGCTTGATTTAAATATTTTAAATGCTAACAAAGAATACCTGTATGGATACATAATGAAGCGCATGGGAACGTTGTATCGTAATGTAATATGCGCTTTACAAGAACTGTTCATCATGTTCATAACTGTTTTTTTAATGATTATTATTATCATATAATCTACAGCTGGTGTGTACCTAATCTATTGACAAGCAGAGAAGATGGACATTTTCAACACTTATTATACAAATATATCCCATATGTTTTTCAATTGCATTCAATGTAGTACAAAATCGACATTGATAAGATCAATATAGAATATGTTCATAATTTTATTGATACTGAATAATATCATGAACATTTGAAACGTTCCTGACATGTACCTAGATAGAATTCTTTGAACATGTATTTGTTCTGGTGGATGTATGCTTATCAAATTTGTATATTATTAATCTGCAATCATGTATTTTCCTTGACATTATCATCATTATATCGGGGAAACTAATTACAAGAGTCTATAAGATACGAATTTGGAAATATGTTGACAATTTCGCGAATGTAACGTCGTTGAATTGTTAAATTGTAAATTTGTAATCTCTGAGTCCTCCGTGCTGTTTCCCAAATCCAGAATTGCTGTTTACGCATTACTGTCACTTTCAACTATCAAGACTCTGAGCTGTTTCCGCGAGTTCATAACGACCATTGCTCATCTGAGAGTACTTCACTGATGAGAAGCCACATGCTTTCAACGTCAGCTTGGTGATGCCGTAGACCAGAAAGAGAACCAGCATGCCGATTAGGATGTGCCATGTGAACATGACGGTAGTGAACATGACGTTGAGATGGTCCTCTCCATCCCAAGGTTCTCCTGAAGGAGGTTTGTAGAGCACTATACCCAAGTGAAAGAACCAGGTTCCCTGGACTAGAGTGAAAAGAATCCGGATGAGACGTATTAAGGTATCTTCTCTGGACCAGACCTCCGCCGCTGCTGCCAAAAAGCACACAAAGATAGCGAAGACGAGCATGTTGTGAAGGTGGATTTCGAGAGGGTTTCGACCATGGGTGTGGAAGTAGAAGAGAAACCCTTCCACGGCATACGCCAAAGCACCAAGAGCGTGTTCAAATGTTGCTGCAGAAGGGACACAGGTACTCCCAAGGACTTTGACGAATCCATAGATAGCAAAATACAAGTACATGGAGCAGTGGCCCCATTCTACGTCATTTTGCCAGTGGCCGTCCTTGTCGACAAGGACCAGGACCGGTTCCGAGTACGCCATCTCGACACCGATGCCGGCAATGCCCGCGAAAACGATTAATCCTGCCTCAAGAGGTGCGCGATGCAAACAGTACATCACACGAGACCGGGGCCGCTGGCGACCGTTGTCCAATACAACTATGGAGTATGCAAATTGTATGATCCACCAAATAGCGACGATAATGAAAAATCCGCCGGGTACGGCATGCCCACCGAACGAACCCGTCATTTTATCTTCTTATCTGTACTTCCTTGAGGTACAGATTCACTCTCTTTCCAGGGAGGTGTTTAACTCACATACCCTGCTCTTTCCTTCCACCATGTACTCGATGTAAGATGTACAGTCGTGTTATGGTATTCTGTGGAATCCTCGATCGCACAGTAGGCTACAGTACCATCGTGTACCATGTAGTCTCTCTCTCTCTCTCCCTCTTCCTCTTTCTCTCTCTCTCTCTCTCTCTCTCTTATGGAGCGAAATGCAAACACGGGAAACGTACTGTGAGCCATCTGTGTACAAACGCAACCATGCAGCGGCTCCCTTGGTTTCAATAAATTTGAAAGTCAACGGGCATAACTTACTGAAAAGATGCATTGTATTGGATCTCAATAAAAAAACATGTTGTGTTCTCAAGCAGACTATGTATTGGGTGACTGGGTTCTGGTGAAATCCAATAGGCCAGTTTCGGCGGTTACGTAATGCGCGGTTACTGTAACCAAGCCCGACAAGCTTTGTCAAATCGCCATTTTGAATCTGTGCATTGTGTATTAGACTGTCGGTTCTTGCCGTTAAATTGCATTCATATCTTTCTATCAAAACTGCGTGTATACATATGAATTTCTGTTTTGGCCGGAAATGTCTTCCAACTTGCCATTCATCAAGCTGAGTTTCAGGCAGCTGCAATATTTTCTAAGAAAAAGAGGAGTTTCGGCTACGGTATACACCCGAGAAAAGACTCGTTAAATTAGCGTCCGCAGGAGCGGACTAGCCTGCCCGTAGCCCCTGACCTACGGGGTCCGTGTCACTCGGTAGACGTGACTGTATGGGGAAATTACAACGGGCAGGATTTTCGTTGAGTGAACTAGTTGCATACCTCCCTTAAGTTTGACGATATTCCTGACTTTGGGACCTATGACGTATTCAATTATCTAGTAGAGAATATGGCGGACCATGCATTTATGATCGTCGAAAACTGAAGGCTTTTAAGATTTTTGAAGACTTTCGATTGATATTTCCCGATGGCCATAGATTATGTGGACTGGAGAAGCTCGAGTACAATCCTCCCTCTAGTTAGCTCTCGGCAGCTTATGATAGCGACTTGTGACTAGATTATACAGGTCAAACCGACGCAAAAAGACAGAACATCCCAACTTGAACAAAAAGAAAAAATATATAAATAATAAACAAATAAAAAGTAGAAGTCTACAGATCTAATAGAAAATGTAATAACATTTTTATTTTTAAATGTTTTTTTAAAATAATAATAATTGCTTCTTGAAGTTGAATAACGAAGGTCCGGCATAATTGTAGTCTAATACTAGACTATTAACTTTTATTTTATGAAAATCAAACTTTATTCCTAATCTTATTCTAAACAATAAAATTATTCATCATCCTGATTCTTCTTCCTTGCCATCATGTTTTTTTTATTACTTTTATTATTCCCTTTTTCCATTGCTCTATCATTCTTTTTCCTTGTTCATTGTTTTTCTTCATTTTTTCCGTTCAAAATTATTTGTTTATCATTGTTCATCATTCTTATTCTAGCTCTTTGTCATCGGACGATATTATTTTATAAATACCGGTATTATTTTATTAACAAAGACCTTATATATTATATTATTACCTTAATTGTCATTATTTCTCGTTGCCTTTGTTAATAATATTGATTCTGCGGTCAGTGCTTGCTTCTCGTTAGCCGTTTCTCGTCCGCCTTGAAATAGTCCGTATCGATCGAGGCGTTTCACAAACATTTTTTAATCCGTAAAATTGTTTTCATTTTGAAAATGTGAATCGCGCCTACACGAACACGAACACGTGGTACGCGCGCACGCTTCTGCAAGCAGAGGTGACTGTGTGTGCGAACGAGTGGAAAATAGTTCATCACTTCTTTCATTTCTACGTCCTAATTTGTACTCAGATTCAAGCTAAGGTAAATGCAAAATTGAATGGAAATTACCGATATCGGCTAGCTAACTTATATTTTGGTGCTTCGCTTTCTATTTCATCACTGGCTTTCAAGCCAATATCGCTTGTATCATCGACCTCGTTTTTCTTCTTTTTGAGGGGGTATCGTGCGCTGCCTGTACCGAGGACTTGGCCGAACAGGTTTAGCTGCAAGATGTGAATCGCTAGTTCTGTACCAGCAATGCTTTTATATTATTCTTGCCTAAGACTCAGCGATTTTAAAGATCAAATGTATGAAGAACAAAATCACATCTCAAAGATATTTATTATTCAAGTTTGAAACTGCCTCCTTTTTCTTCTCTCTTTCTCTCAAAATAGCGAAAACAAACGATACAATCACACCTAGCGAACACAGTCATGTATGGTATGCACGCAAAGTGTAGTCTGCTACGCACCGCGAGTTCTTTGCTTGTCCGACCCTCCGATTACGTAATGCGATTTAAAGGTCTCTGAATACATTACGAAACTGGCCTATTCATGTGTGCACTGCATATAAATTTAAAGATTGAGTCAAAATAATCCTCATAATTCTGCTGAATGTCAAACCATCACTTTATAGGCCTCCCTATATACCTAATCAGGCTTTCTAGTAACTTCTTGACGGTTACTTTCACAACGTAAGGCCTACACAAAATATGTTGTATCGCCCTTTGGGTGCCAAAACATGGGTCGGTCGGTCGGAAATCTTCTTTTTTCCCTTCCCTCTTTGTGCTGATATTTCTCAGTTTGGAATGCTTTAAATAGATATATTTTTTTATTCATTAAACATTTTTTTCCCCCAAAAAACGGTAAAAAACAACAATTTTTTTTTTAAGCCGACCGTAGAGTTCAAAATGTTTGGGTCGGTCGCAAAGGGCAATACAACATCTTTTTTAACGCCTAATTGAATAACCAATACTCAACTTTATCTTTAATATATAAGAGACGCATTGACAAAATGAACGTTTAATGTTGTTTAATTTATAAACAGACATTGTGGCCTACAGATATGCGCCACATAGTTAGCATGTTGCAGGCGGATGCACCGAATGCTTGCCATAGTTATCATCCCTATTGCGCACGTAACGAACGTTCTTAAAATTAATGTAAACGATATCATTTTGCTGGCAAAATTTCAATTGATTAACACGAATCCCATAAAATTTCGTTGAATAGTCCCGTCTAATTCAAATTGAAAGAAAAGCCTTAAACTTTGGTTGGGTCGACACACGATGCTATTGAATCTTCATAGATAATCATTGACCTAAGTCTATAAAGGTCATGGAGCGCTATATAAATGGAATGTTATTGTTATTACCTTGTGAACTTTGAATAGTGAAAGAAATTCTGCCCGGCCACCGAGCGGCCGCCGCCTAGGCACCGCTCGTTTTTAGGGCATCGATCGCTCGGTCGCCGCTGAAGTTTTAGCGCGGAGTTAAAATTTGGCGCCGCCCAAAATACGCTCGGTGCCTGGGCGGTCGCCGCCCGGGCACCGACCTAATCGCTGGGCGATGCCTAAATTCCAGCAGCGACCGAGCAGGCTACTGATCGGCCAGTCGCTGCTCTGATTTGTGACCATAGCTTAAGAGAACGGATGTATGCCGATATCGTGCAAGCATAAATGAATCATAAATGAATTTCAATCCGAATTGTACTAAACATAATTTGCTATCGTAAGTTCAAATGTGTAATGAAAGGATACAGCGTTTCAGGTTGTTCCTTTTTCACTCTACAATATGGCCTACTTTGCCCAACAGTTCGCCTTCTTAAAGTTGTCTTGAGTCTCGATCTTCCCTTAAAAACAATAATAATAATAATAATAGAAAAATAATAATAATGATATAAACAATAATAGTAACATTGTTATGATAATTATGATACTTACAATAATGATAATAATGATAATAATAATGATACTATATGTTAATGCCGTTCTCTTCATTCTTCAAGTTCAAATTCAGATTGTTTATATTTGGTGTTTGGAACCCTCCCGTCCTTTACTCTATCAGAAGTTCGCCCCTTCCTCTCAAGTGGCTATGCAACCTTTCCATGCTATATCCTTTATTTCAAACTACCGAAATCATGTGATTAGAAAAATAACATGAGGGTATAACGTGGTAGCAATTTACCAAAGGAAAATATTACTCGAGAGTCGAGCCAACCAAATTTTGTATTGTGTATCAGTGGCGGATCCAGGGGTGGGCCGAAACGGCCGCCCTCCCCCCCCCCCCCTATTGGCGGCGCAAAAAAATTGAGAAGGAAAAAAGAGCCGGAAGAACAGAAGGCCCCCAACAGGAAAAATCCTCTGTGTGGCCATGCCTTGAACCATAATGCATGGCCCTACAGAGGAATTTTTCCTGTTGGGGGCCGGGGGAAAATGCTTTTTGGGGATTTGTGGAAGGGGCCGCGTACCCTAGCAAACACTGCGTACAGTCATGATTCAGGGGCTAAGCAATGGCCTCGTTGCTGTGAGGTCCCATGATAAAAATCGTGTCGATCAGCTATATATTATTGCCCTTTTGTGAGGCATTAGTCCTCATTACTGTCAATTATGACTTAAGGACGTAGGTCCCTTAGCTGATTAGCATAGTAGCACACATATGATTAAACAGTCACGCAAAACAAACACTCGCAAATTAATATTCAATAAAATCTGAGAATGTATGCCATTATCTAGATCTATTAGAAATAAATATTTTTTTAAATCCTTCCCTAAACTGGGGTAAAAATAAATATTCCACCATTATGACCAACAGTGTATATTTATAAAAAAGAGGTTCACATAAAAGCACTCATGATAAAGCCGCGCCCGACCCCTACAACATCATTTTGGGTTTTCAGATGATGGGCCGGGTGGCAGGGGTAGGGGGGAAAGTTCGCCCCACTCTTCAAGTACCCCCCCCCCCAAAGGGCCACTTTTACTTCGTAAAGAAGTGCCCCTTCCCCTGTTTAACTCGGATAAGCGCATATTTCATCAACACATGTGCCCCCTTTCCTATCTGATAAGGGCTATTTAGAAAAATGAGGCCCTTCATAAATAAAAAGTGTCCCTTTTCATCTCTGGTAAATGACCATGTTCATATATGAGAAGTTAATTCTTTTCACTTCAGTGCGCTCTTCACCTCCGATAATTGCCACTATTCAAATCTGAGAGATACTCGTTTTACTTTGAAAAGTACCCCTTCCCCTCCTGATAAGTACTCTTTTCATCTATGATGGGTGCCCATTTTC